CGATAGTGAAATCCTAATTTTCTGGAGCCCTCTCAAGAACCCCTGCGGGTCCCCTGATCCCAGGTTGAGAACCAGTGGAATATGAGAGATGAATGAGTGTTTAAGAAGAGTGTTAACAACAAGCATATTAGCTGTCGTCGTAGTAGAATTTGTACTTTTATAATGACTTGGCTTACTTGTGACTTCATACTGACAAAGATTGAGTTCTCTCTTTATGTCAGCGGTCAGGAGGGGCCAATGTAGGGCTGCACAGTTGATATAATATTAATTTGGCATCCCATAATTAAATGAACGTGATCATCTACGATATTGACATTGCAAATGCGCGCATGGCTCATAGAAAGCTCTGCTCCATATCAAATTAAATGTTTCGTAAACTAAGAACCAGCCCACAGGGTGTCACACACACACCTTGCAGCTGCAGCCTGGATGCTTTTATCCCCGGAGAAAATGCAGTGTTAAATTACTGCGTACAAAAACCAAGCATTTTCTGCGGCTGCATCTTCACATTAAAAGCATTTAACTGGCGAAACCAGTTGACTTTATTTCGAAGTAAGCTAGTCACAGATCTAGATTGAGTTACATTTGTGCTTCATGCTGTTTTATTTCCTGCGTTGACGTTTGTTTGAACCTAAAACTTAGTGCATTAGTTAGTGTTGTCCATGGAGGGAGGAAAGTAACTGTGTGCTGTTGTATTTATTTGTTAAAGGGATTTTTTGACATCGCTGTAGACAACCTTTACGCAGAGCCTGCTGTTCTGCAGTGGATCAGAGAAAATATTCCAGAGTGGAAAAATTGTATCATCGTGTCTCCAGATGCCGGCGGAGCAAAACGGTAAGATAGCAGAGACCTTGTTGATGTGCACAAGTTTCTTTAGACGATACTTTGTTTGCAGCTTTCACCATTTAGAAGGCAAGCTCCAGTTTGTTGCCTCGATGAGGTTTAATCAAGAGTATCGCAATAAAAGTCAGCAGTAAAAGGTGTCAGTGTTTAATGGGTCCTTCTGTTTGTCCTCGGTCCAGCGTGACATCCATCGCAGACCGTCTGAATGTGGACTTTGCCCTCATCCACAAAGAGAGGAAGAAGGCCAACGAAGTGGACCGTATGGTGCTGGTGGGTGATGTCAAGGACCGCGTGGCCATCCTGGTGGACGACATGGCCGACACCTGTGGCACCATCTGCCACGCTGCCGACAAGTGAGTGTCATTAAGATCCTTTATTTATTCTACTGTTTGTCATTATGTTGTTGGTGTGATGGACGGACAAACAAACAAAGGGCTGCGCTTTAACTAGAGATCACAGCCTGGTAAGTGTTGGAGGGCGTGTGCAGACTACTGCATAAGAATGTGTGGTGACTGCAGCTTATTGATATTAAACTGATAAGCTGCTTTTATCAATTGAGACATTGCAACACAAGTGCGTGTCCAACAGAACAATCTCCACGTCATGAAAACTCCACAGAAGGTGAAGTGAAAAACTGGCACTGGTTTATAATGACATGAATAATAAAACAAGTGAAATACATTTTCCATTTACAGTTTTTATCTTCTTCTTTCAGGCTGATCGATGCCGGCGCGGTAAAGGTCTACGCCATTCTCACACACGGCATTTTCTCCGGTCCGGCCATTTCTCGTATCAACAGCGCCCCGTTCGAGGCCGTGGTGGTGACCAACACCATCCCACAGGAAGAAAAGATGAAAGCGTGCCCGAAAATACAGGTACACACACACACACACACACACACACACACACCCACACACACAGCACACACACACACCACACACACACACACACACACAAAATAAGTATATGCAGTATTGCCCCAACACTTGAGTAAACGTGGTGTTGCATATAACAACAGTGTTCTAAATTAGGTTTTTACTCTCTCAGCCCATGTTATGAAGCTCTGCCTATTCAAATCCAACCTACTGACACTCGATGTAGAATCATTCTTCTTATATTTTCAATGCAAACAGTTCTTGGTTGCGGTTACCTCATCCTAAGTGAGCTAACTTGAGTCAGCACCTAGAATTTTACTGTAGGGAAAAACCTCATCAATCACAAACATTTGCTGTAGCTCTGTGAATGTGTCATATACAACTCTACAGGGTTGTTTCATTGTTTGTTACTCATTCTGTGCTGTATTTGTTCCTTTTCACACCTTTATCTGGGTATATTGTCTAGATAATCACATCCGATCCATGGGAACTAATATTAATAAGCACTGATTGAATCTCAATATGCCAGGAAACAATTCCATAAACAGAGGATTTCATTTCATTTTTGTGAGGGAAGACTTTCTAGCTTCTGCTACTTGTAACTTTTGCAGGACTTGGATAACATATCCAGATACATTTTAATACCATGTGTAAATGGGGTCAAACTGATGTTTCTTAAGTATTGTTAAACTATAACAGCTGGTGCCTTTATCATCAGTACGACATATTTCACCCTCAACCCCCCCAAAATACCCTTCACTTAATGGGGAAATAGATACAAATAATGATGCTGATAATCTGGACAAAGTATTTATTTTATTTCTTTTCCTAACATGTTGGACTTTCCTTTCTGTTTCCTTCAGGTCATCGACATCTCAATGATTCTGGCGGAGGCGATCAGGAGAACCCACAACGGCGAGTCAGTGTCCTACCTCTTCAGCCACGTACCCTTGTAAAGACCGAGAGAGGGCGACCCCCAGCGCGCTCGCTCTATGTCTCTCTCTCTCTCTCTGCTCCCCCGTCAGGCCACTCAGCTGGCACTTCTTTGCCACATATCCTCCAGAAAGGCCTTGAAAAAGGGGCCTGATGGTTTTTGGCCAACCCCATGTGACTGTTTAAAGGTCACGCCCACACATTGTCTTTTGACATTTTCACCCAGGAGACAGAGAGAAATATCACTTCCTTCTCTGAAGACCAAGTTTGTATTTATGAGTATCTGTTGTCTTTCAGTTTCAGTCTTGCCGACCTTGAACACAACCAAGGCCTGGCCTTCACTTTAACCAAAGGGTCCATTATGTAACATTTTGTATTATTTGTACCTCATATTAAACTCAGTTTAAATGAAACATTCCACTATGTCATGTGATTAGAAATATTTTGGCCCCTTTCTGCTTCACAAGGTAATAAAGTAAATAAAAATAAATAGTTTAAAGAAAAGTGATAAATGAGCATCTTTTTCCACCCTCAAGTTTTTGCTTTAACAGCTGCAAAATGTATTAAAATATTAGAGCCTAACCCTTAACTAGCTAATGCTATATTGATTGTAATAGTTGCTAGCGCCATCATCAGGCCACAGACGGTAGTTTAAAAAGCTTCACCACAAGTGGACATGGATGTGACCACAGACACAGACAAGTGTAAAATTAGAGAACACACTTAATTTACTCACTCTCTTCAGGGTTTTTGTAGTGAACCTCATGAATGTGCCGATGCATCTTACCTCTGCAGTGTCATTTCTCCCACAATAAGCTGCTGTTAACCTTCTCTGTCAGTGCGATGAAGTACAGAGACAACTTTCCAAACTCTCCGGCAGGTCTGTTCATTAAAAGTGTCTAATACAAGGTGTTGTGGGTGCTGTGCCCATGTTCCAAAAGGTCATGAAAAGAAATTGAGCCCAAAGCTTGATTATAGTGTTAATACTTCAACCGTCATTTGCTCTAAAAATGGTCTAATTGTCATTGCAGCTGTAATGGGTCACTTTAGTTCCAATGAGGCAGGTTTCACTGGTTACCTGTTGGTGGATTAAAATTTTTTTTTTTTTTTATATGTAACACTTTAAGTTGTTTCTTTGACAATAAAGCTTTGACAAAGGCTTACAATGGTCCTGCTCTTGTGTCTGTCCTTTTTAACCAATAATTACTGAGTTGGTTCTTCTGAGAGATTAATCTTTTCCTACACTTCCCATAATGCAACTCAAGAACATCTCTCTCTCCCTGGTGAATGCCAACGTCCTTCAAACTCATCCCCCGGTTTCAAATATGACCATCTCCAAGCCTGAGCTGAGATGAGGGCTGGGGTCGTCTGACTAATAAGTGAACATTTATGTGCAAAATTGTAAACATTTATTAGATTGATATGATTTAACTCACTTTAGCATAGTAACGAAACAAGTTGAAAACTGAAAATGTACTTATCTTTATTCAAGTACTCTAAATCAACATTTCAGGTACTTGCACTGTACTTTAACAGCTGGAGTTGCTGGTTAGCTTTTTTTATTTAAAAATTTCTATTAAAATCAGGATGAAATATCTTGTTATGAGCCCCATGTCATATTGTAACATGTCTATGAGCGTTTTCCCCTCTAACTTCTCACATGGTTTCATATCTATCTATATATAACTGTTATATGTAGAGGGAGGTAAAATTAGAGTTTTATGGTGGGACTTTTACTTGTGGTATATTTTTTATATTAATGAATTGTCTATAGTTCAATCAGCAGCTCAATATTGTCAAAGGTTATGGTTCGCTCCAGAACACAGCTGGTAGGAATTCTTTATTTTGCAGACACTTGCAAATGTATAGTTTTGAACTCAGAACTTTTGGGTCATAAAGCTTAAAAATTCTGAAACATTTAGGAAAAATCTTTAATATGAAAGTGTTAACACATGACATCACTGAGTTGCCTTCCTCTGAAGGAGCGGACTGCCACCAGGAGGAGCCATTTCTACACGCATGTGCATCCGGAGCTGCTGCAGACAGATAAAAGTCATGAGGACAAATAATGAGCCATTTAAGTCACATTTTTCAGATCAAATGCGGCCGAACTAATGGTCTCTTTTAACTAAAACAGCTGTAGGGATGGTAACCAGAGGTGTACGGGCACCGTGCTGGCATAAAAACTGATTCCATGGAAGCTCGGAGTGGCGCATTCAGCAGCACATTGCTACTGTAGAGCGCAAAAACACATGAAATGGATTTATTTACATTTCATTCCTCTGGGAGATGATAATATGAGGCTCATTTCAGGGGTTTCAGTGTTTGGTTTCAGTGTGAGCATGGAGGGTTTGTGTCTGTCCAGCAGGGGGATACGGATGATGGGAACTGGTGATGTCAGATGTCATTAGCATATTTCTGACTATATCTAATGCTTGCGCAAAGACGCGCCACTACTGCTGCAACGCACTGACCAGAGACCTTCCAGCCGTCAGCCGACACTTTGGTAAGCCCCATTCAACAAATAATTTATATAGTTTGAGCTTCATTATCTGCAACTACAACAGAGTTGAAGTAATATTAATGCGAGGAATGAGATACAGGCGCTGGGGAAATATGTGCCAAACAGATAACCAGGGATAAAAACGGGAGATAATATCGGTTTTAAGTGAATGCAGCTTGTTTTTATGTTTTAATAGGTCATAACAGGGTGTAATGGGACAGTAGGGCAGGCATGTGTGGTATGTCTTTGTCTGAAGGGCACACATTGATGCATATCAGCCTGTTTCCTTTGTTGCAGTTTGTGGGCGAGCTGCATGCGTCTGGTTCCGTTATTAAAAAGATGCTTTGACGCGTTCACGGCGCTTTATCGGGCTCTGAACTCGACCGCCTGCTGTTTTATTTAGTATATTTCGAAATTTTGGAGTTGAACTTGGATTTTAACACCAAGATGAATGTGCAAAAATGCCAATCTGGGCGGTGGTTCCTTAAGATTGCACCCCAAGGGGAGAAGTACGTGACAAGTGAATTTGCGGATGTTGCACAGCCTCCATGTGGAAAGCCCCTCCGCTCATAAATCAACATTTTACCTCCACAGTACGACCGTTTTTATTCTTATAATGTTATTTTTGAAAGAGTATTCACACACAGGCATGCCGTCTTTCTCCTTTTTTTCATTTTTTTTTTCTCTCGGTCTGCCCAGCATGGGAACTCCTATTGTTATGTAAATGTCGGGTTGGACTGGCTTCATTGTCTGGAGCAGCCTGTGTCCCCTGTGTGCAACATCCCGGGCTGTGTGTTGGATAACGGGACGGATGGCAGTCAAATCACTCTGGGCAGAGCCGCAGGCGAACAAAAGAAGGCAGACGCAGCCGCGCACATTAGAGGGAAAAGTAGTCTGCGGTTGCGCATGTAGTTAACAGATTTTTTTTTTGGCCACTGAGATTTAGGCAACGCCCTTCGACTGATAAGAAGTCAGATTAGACCACATGCTAGAGTGCTTTATACCTTCAAAAGCACATTAACATTGTGACAGCCTGATAAATATACATTAGATATATTTTTCTGTAATCATTCTTGCAGCTTAGAGGTGACAGACACCTGTAGTTTGGTGGATTTATCAGCAGCTGGCTCTCTGTTAAACTGTGCTTCCTCTCTGATCTCAACAGATCTGCAACAATGAGCGACAAGCCTGATATTTCAGAGGTGACCAGCTTCGACAAGTCCAAGCTGAAGAAGACAGAGACGCAGGAGAAGAATCCCCTGCCTACAAAAGAAAGTAAGGCTGCACTTCGGACACCGCTGCAGAAAATGGAGCCCAGGCACAGTGTGGCTCTTTATCCAGATTTTATTTTTACTGTGGGATTCTCATATCTTCCTCTCTTTTCCCTCCACAGCCATTGAACAGGAGAAGGCGGACACGTCGTGAAGCCCCTCCCTCCCGTCATGCACTGTACACCCCCACCCCCCCTCCTCCCGCATTGCCTTGTTTTCAGTCACTTCTTTTAGCTGTATAACCTTGTAACCGAAATTATGAAACGACAACAATAACCAAGCTGCACAGCCTGCGGACGGATGATGCCTTCGTCAGGGCGGTCGGCCCCGTCCCCCTCAACGAATACCACCATAATCACCTTCACGCTCGTCTTTTCTGTCGGGGCAGATGAGGAAGATTTGTCTGATGCGAAGGAAGGGGAGGGGGACTGCAGAAGGTGCATGTCTCTTCTTCACCACCGTTACCATCAACGCCGTGCAGCAGACAGGGCCTAAGGGACGAGGGCGTGGCCTGCGTCCCAGGAAGCTCATCATCGTATCGCCACCGACACCCAACTTCCTGTGTGGCTGCTTTTGCGCCCAAGCTGAGGCGTCAAGCTTTTTTGTTGTTTTTATTGGTTTTTCGTCTTCTAATTTTCGGAAAATGCACAACTTTGTTTGTACGCTGGCCAAAATGTAAATGCCCCAAAAATTGATACTGTTGTCTGTCACAATGTTTTTTCTTTTGTACACAAGGATAAAAAAGTGTAACGGATTCCATCTAGATCTGGGAGATGCTCAAATGGACCTTATTTACAGTTAAATTGTAACGCCCTTTTGTCAGAGTGATTCGGGATAGCTTTTGTGTTGCAATCTGTCTTTGAATTGTCTCAAATGAGGAAAAGGAAAAAAAAAAATACCGGTAATTGATTCCATGTGTTTGCTTTCAACTGTAGATCAAAATTATTTGGAGTTCCAGCAGTCATGTTACTCTGCCACAAACCATTACCAGAAATGGAAAACCGTGAAATGTTGTAATAAAAAAGAATTTGTTACTAAAGAACTGTACTGCAGCGTGCTTTTTCTGCCACATAAATCCTCATTGAGTCAACATTGCTGCATATTTGACCACAGCCCCTCACACTTTAGAAGAACAGTTAGTCACCTTTAGACTGCTCGTCTTTCACACTATCTTACACTCATGCCAAACAATCCTTTAATGTTACTTATGGGATGAGGCTGTGCACTATTGAAAGGCTTAAACTTCTCCGCAGCAACCCTCAAAGGGATTTACCAGCACAGGAGACAAAGTTTGTGTCCCTGCGTGTGTGAAATGAAAGCAACTTGTTAGACCACCTGTCTCAAAGGTCTTTTCTTGACGAAGTTATGATGACCACTGTCAGCATAAAGCTTTAAAGCAAGAGATTATTGCAGAGAGACTCAAGCCTTGGAGCAAAATAGTCCTGAAATCCAGGAAGTTGACTGTCTACTGAGCAACTTTGATCATTTCAGGGATTACTATACAAAGCTAAAAGCTATAAGGATGATTTAATACAATGTAAATACATACTGGATGCATGTGTATGTCCATTTTATTAGCTGTACTCTGTTCTTTAAAGTACCTGTAGTAAAAAGCAGAAAGAGAAGAGTTACAGAAGTATATCAGCAGCATTTGCTCATGTATTTATTATCTGGGTTTGATGCATTGGTGAGCAATGGCTTATGGGACAGCGTGCCCTGACCCAGAGTACAGGGTGTAGCCTCAGCGGGAGATTTACTCAGCCCTTCGTCCTAAACTGCCTTCGTCCTAAATTAGCCACTGCCTACAAAGCCTTAATGTCATTAACATGACATCATTGACATTTCCTGTAAACGACGTGCATTGCAGCGCCTATATGTTATGCTTTTATTTTATTGAGTGTGATCAAATGGGCCACCATTGCATCTTTGTTACAGTATTTAACTGTGTTTCCTGTGGCGGATTAACACAACATTTACAGAGTGCATATTGCAGAGAGAAAGCATTATCAAAGTCACTCAGCTATTTCTGCCCAGGCCGGTGAGATTGATCTCAGGTCACGTAATGGTCTGCAAATCTTAAATGTTAGTGTAAGTGGATTGGTGTTAAGTCAGTTGCTCTTAATAAGGCATTAATCTGCATCGAGGAGGAGGGGTAGATGTGGAGGTTAGTGGGCTAGCACGGTGAGACTAGGCCAAAGCCTCGCAGGTCCTCCCTCAGATGGGATTAACACCTCCCATCTCCCATTTCTCCCTCTGCCTCTCCTCCGCAAGCTGCAAGGCTCCACACAGGCCTGCATCAGAGCCTCCCGAGAAAGTGACGGAGGATTTGAGGTGGAGCAGCAGATGGGGTGGAGTCACTGTCCAAGGGGGGACGAGGGGGGTGGGGGATGTGTCAGCACCAAGCCTGTTGAGATCCGACGGGTGTCCTGCCCGGTAACCCATGGCAACAGCTGCTGCTGAGTCACTTCCTGGTGTTGGGCGGTTGGATGCTTGTCTCATGGAGACTGTTTCTCCCTGGCAAGCACTCATCATTAAACCTGTGCTGCTGGCGTGATTCGAATACTCAGGAGATTATGAACCCAGCACATTCTGCTCTGTTGTCTGTTTTTAGACATATTTGACCATCTGTCTCCTACAGCCTCCTGTCTCCACTGAAGGAATGTCTTTGAAAGAGGCCTGATTAACTGAGGGACTGATGACTAATGGTTACTGAACACACATGGGCCATTGTTGAAGCTCTACTAGCAGGCTGTTGCACTTTGGGCTTGTGGTGTCTCTGCACTTAGTAGTAGCTGATGGACCTTTGGTGAGTGGTTGTGATTAGTATGTGGCTTCAAACTATGTTTATAGCCATGCTAGTGCCATGGCTTCAGGTGTGGAAATGTTGGTTAGTCGGTCGGAGATATCTCAATAATTCTTGGATGGATTGCCATTAGGCACAGACATCCATGATGCCAAGAGGATGAATCCTAATCACTCAGGTAATCCCTTGCCTTTCTTTTGTAATGCCACCAGCAGGTCAAAATACGTCAACGTGATTCGGCATGCAGACAGACTGGTTTGTTTTGTTCTTTTTTTTTTTTTTTTCTTTGAGTTAAAGTTAGAGAAGTTTATGATATTGCACCACTGCGCCTCAACGGTGATGGCAAGAATAGCATGCATGTATCTTTATTAAAGTGAATTAGATCATACATCAATAGCCTGATTTTACGCGTGATCAGTTACGATAAAGAGGCAGGAAAATAGAAATATTTTAGAGACCTTCTCGAATCATGTTTTCAGGGGAGCTCATGTCCTATGAAATGGAGCCAGGCTGGCTCTTCTGAAGTTCGCACCCTGGGTTGGGGTGTCAGCTAACGTGCAGTTGGTACTTTTTCGTGAAATGTCTAAACAACTGTTGAATAAGTTGCCATGAACTTTGGTACATAAATTCATGTCCTCCTCTCTAGCGCCACTATCTGGTCGAAATTGTAATTTATCCATTGCTTTGGTTTATGACCTAATACCTGTAAACCCATTAATGTATCAGCTTTAATTACTCCGTTTAGTGCTAAACATCAGCATGTTAGCACAGGTCCAGTGCTACTAGCAAGGCTAGAGGAGAGGAGAGAAACCAACAGCCACATATCAAGTGTTCTCCTGTTATCTGTGTTATATATTATTTGCAGGTACTCGTCAGTTTTCCTCGGAGTCAATTATCTCTCATCACTCGCTGGCAGAGACAAACACAGGGTCTTCTGTGGATTTCCATGGCAACTACCCACCCAGGAGCTACATTCTAGTGCTAGTGAAGCTAGATGAGACTGCCATCGACCGCACGTTAACACCTTGCCATTAGCTTTAGTAAGTATCCACCGTGCATTTGACTGCAGAGATACAAAGAGACAGAGACGGGAGACTAAACAGGAAAAACATGTTTATTTCATTATTATGGCTTCCTGTCCAACCATATCTCTTTATGTTGTCTGTGGCGTCAGTATCAGCAGACCAATGTGAAAAAAACTGCAACCTGCAAATATGCAACACTTGTTCCTTCTTTTCTGCTGTGCTAGAGGTCATCCGATACAAATGCTCACCACTGGTGCTTTTTATCGACGTAACCCTAACCCAATGACAAGCACATGAGGTATGAGCAGCTACGTTTTGGGGGTCGAGGGTCATGTGTATGTTAGCTCATAGGATATGACTTCAGAGTGTAATTTAATATAGCTCTCAAAGCGCTCGGGGAGTCCCACATGGCAGTATGGACAAAACCTTACTAGGAAAAGGAATAACTTTTTAGGGGGATTTTCATATAATATATATATATAATAGCATACCATCATGTACTCATACACACGAGTCAATGCTATCACATAATGCAATTACCAACTGACTTATTATCTTAAACGGTAGTGCAATAAAATCCATCTTATCACATCAGTAAAGGCGGCATGGAGACATTTTAATCCTTCGTTTTATCTGAAAAATACACCAAATTTGGATATATGTCGGTTTCACTAGAAAGCGGCAATGTACTACATTAACTTAACATAATATTTGTATTATATTTGCCCTGGAAGGTGGTTTCATTTTTATCGAAGGGGATTTCCTTGATTCTTGTCTAATGTTAACCTGTGAAGCCCTTATTATGACAAAGGGTTACACATTTACAACCTGACATGAAACATTAAAGTGATAACATAAAACAAAACGGGAAACTGTGCTATTATGTTATCAGTTGATTTAATAAAGTTCACTGGTTCAGTTTATTGGAAAATTGCCTTTTTGTATTTGTTACAAACGCGTGCTTAAGCAAAGTACTGGATTAAACAAGTTGTTCAAATGGAGCTGTATCCATGCTGGTCCTGGAGTTACTCTCATAATAAGTACATGCATTAAAATGTTTTTATGCAACAAAACATAACTCAAAATGTTTCACCAGTCATGTCCTCTTTGTGCAATGTGTTTACAGATAAGTGCTGTTCTGCGTCCGGAGTTAGCAGGGAAGCAGGAACTAACTTTTTATAGCACTTTTCTGAACAAAGACACAAAGTTCACACACACACAAGCCAACACTTAGCTGTAAGAAACAGCAGTCATGCACTGTTGGCTACAGGAAGCACAGAAACAGCTCAAAACATCCACCTGTAATGGGAGTGCTGGCTATCTTGTTGCATAAATGATAATTACAACAGATCCTCTGGATTTGTAAAAGTCAGTTAAACAGTTGTATGACCGCTAATTACACCATCAAACTGATGCCTAAAAGCACAGGCGACTTGTTAAGAATCAGTGGGGCAGAGCACAGGCGTGGTCCTACATTACAGACAGGGCTTTTTCTGCAGCAGGCTGAACTGCTTGTCTATAGCTTGGGTTGATTACCCCAGACATGCTCTATTAGTCTGGCCCCAGGTGGGGCCCCGATCAATGCAGTCTAAATGGTGTTGACGTTCACCATTGCTTGTAAATGCATTAGCAGAAGCATTGCACAGAATCGATGCCGCTGCATAGACAGCAGAGCACATCACAGAGCGTCAGCTCGACTCATTGTGACTTGATGAGGTGGTCCAGAAAATATCCACTCTGAGGTGATGACCGAGAGTGAGTGTGAACAAAAGAGTGAGTGTGGCTTGCACTTCTGCAGCCTCCATGCAGCCGTGCATGCACGCACTTGATCCTATAGACAGATGCATGTGCAACTTGCCTTCATGCACGCGTGCTTCTCCTTGGTGCATCCGTGAGATGTAAACACGGAGAAGCTCTCAGTGGCCGCTCTCCTGAGGGTTTATACAGTGTGACAGCTTTGACATTTCCCCCGAGCAGTGAGGCTGTGACTGCCACGCTGCAGACGAGGCGCTTCCTCCCTCGCTGCAGGCACAGATCTGGGCCACTCTCTGCAACTCTTCTTCCTCCTCACAGAGGATGATATTGCTGCTACAAACACCTAACACTTTTGGTTTCTCTTTACCTTTTGTAGCAAAATCCCCTTCTTAGCTACAAATTTGGAGCTTTTCTATGTTGCAGCTTTTCATAAACTGGATGATTTCCAGTTCATTTAAA